GGGCCGGGACGGGCTGGGGCCTGCACCGGCGTCGCGACCTGAGCAGAGCCGGGCGGCGGGAGGGGGAGCGAGGGGCGTGGGGTTCCCGCCGTGCCCCGCAGCACCCCCGGAGCTTAGCTGTTCCGCCGTTCCGTGCTCCCTCGGTGCGACAGCGGCGTCCCCGTGCAGCGGGGCCGGCCCTGAGCTGCTCCTTTCTCTCCCCAGTTTGTTGAAAGCGACGACGACGAGGAACTTCTCTTCAACATCCCGTGAGTTCTTTCCCGGAGCTCCTCCGGCGCCGTTCTGGCAGCTGGCAGGGCCGCTTCCTCAGCTTCGTGTTCCCAGGAGCGAGGCATGTCTGCGCTGTGGTAACTGGCACTGGTTTGGGGAGATTGGAGCTGAAACCGCCTCTTGTATGTCTCTGGGCAGGTTTACTGGCAACGTGAAATTAAAAGGAGTAATTGTGATGGGAGAAGACAACGGTACGCATCCAGCAGAGATGAGACTGTAAGTGACATGAACTTTGCTGGAGACTAAACGGCACTGATTGACCAGTAACTAACAAGAGCAGCGATTCTCACGCTGTTGGGTACCCCAGCACCCAGCGAGAGTCTGCAGTGTGGGAGAAAGCAGTGCTACTCTGCAGCTCCTCAGCCCTTCCAGGGCCACAGGAGAAAAAAGAAACCGTAACTTGCATGGGGCTGAGCGCGGCTACATGCTGCCTTTTCTCTAGAGAAACAGGGTGGTGGTTTTAGTGAGATGACACCGTTTGGTTTACACACTGGCTGTGCAGTGAGGAAAGCAACCTGCTGCTGGCTTAGCGGGTTGCAGAAGGATCCATGGCTCAGGAGGGGTCATGCTTTGGGGGGGGAACGCTGAGGGTTGAGAGGGAGGGACACAAGTGACAGCGTCCTGCTGCCAGGTGAGCTCTGTAAGGCTCTTGGTAGCAGTCCAGCTGTGCTGAGCCGTGAGGTCTTTTTTAGCTCCTGAAGGGAGGGAGATCCCTCTGAATACTGCCTTTGTTTTTAAAAAATTAGAGAGTACTGAGTACTCTGCAGTTCTTGCTTGTGGGGAAAGAAATATACCTTTATCGAGCCCTGCTTTTCCTTGGCCTTCAATGTACCAGGGTCTGGCTTTCTTCACGTACCCGAGCATGCTGAGATCTGTACCTCCCCAGCTTTGTTCCCTGCTCTTGTTATTTCTTCAGGGTGTTGGGTATCTGGAACATGATGACGCTTTGTGGCAAATCCAGTTTCTTACTGTTGAAAAGAATGCGGGTAGTGCTAATGGCTGGGGAGGAAACCAGTGTTAATTACTTTCTGGGCTTCCTCCCTCTCTTCCCAGGTTCAGGAACATTCCTCACATGTCCTTTGATGATGCAGCCAGGGAGCCAGAGCAGACGTTCAGCCTGAACCGGGATCCAACGGGCGAGCTGGAGTACCCCACCAAGTACGATGCTGGTCCACGGGCCTGGGGGTTGCGGGGGGCTGCTCCTCCTGAGTGCAGGCACTGCACTCTATCCTGACTGCTGGCATGCCACCAAATTTTAGGAAGGTGTTAGCAGAGGGCAGTTCCTTCCCTTGAATCTCAAAACTGCCCAGAACAGAATTTGCTTCCCCAGATCCATCTTCCCCCTGTCAGGTGAGAGCTGTGGTCTGAAAGCAATCTCCCCGGAGCCAGGGGGATTCCTGTGCCTGTGAGGCAGGACTTCTTGGGGTGCAGAATCATCCTGGTGTTGTGTCCCCTGCTCTTGGCCCCAGTGACAGCTTGTTGCTGGCCCGCTCACCACAGGTGTGAGGGAAGCCACTTCTCCTGCACCCTCAGCCCTTTGCTCCCCAGTCTGACTGGGATTAGGGCCGGAGCTCTGCAGGGCATGGGGCTGTGGTACCGTGCTGAGAAGAGGTGGTGGGGCAGCAGAGTGGCAACTTGTATGCACAGCTCTGGATTCAAAGTGTGTTTTCTTTCAGAATTGCCCGTTTCTCTAATGTTTACCACCTCTCCATCCACTTTCCGAAGAACTTTGGAGCGGAGACAACAAAGATTTTTTATATAGGCCTGAAAGGAGAGTGGACAGAGGTAGGTGAGAGCAGAGATGAGAAGGAATGTGCTAGTAGTGTAAAAAGGGCTTTAAATCAGAGCTTCAGTGGAGCTCTAATGGTGAGGAAGAAGTGGCCATCGTGGGTGGGGTAGAGATGGAAGGTCTGCGGTGAAAAGCCTGTAAGATGGGAACCTGCTCATCTCTCCAGTCAGGTGTTTTAGGAGGGACTTGAATTCTGCTCTCCTCTGGACTAACACGCTTAATTTTAATTCAGGCTCATCGCCATGAAGTCACCATCTGCAATTATGAAGCATCAGCAAACCCAGCTGATCACAAGCTGGAACAAATCACCCCACAGACTCACTTCATCTCCTAACCACGCTGTCAGGAATCTTCCGAATGCTCTGATACAAGTCTATGGACATGATGGGCTGACTTGGACAGAACTGGTTTCCTGGAGCACTGCAGTGTTGGATCAGCTTTACGTTTCAGTCTTTGCCTTGAAAAGCAGAGGGCTGAGTGTTTACAATGCCTGTACAAAGATGGCTGCTGAGGGCAGCGGCGTGTTAGCTCCTGCAGAAGGCTGCAGATTTGCACTCCTCACAGGAGAGACAATCTTTGGGCAGTGGCGAGCTTGTGTCTGGTGTTGTTTGCTCCTCTGACTGCCAATAAAACACACTGAGGTGCCGAGCTGTGGCTGTGGCCTGCTCACCCATATCCCCCTCCCTGACTGCGGGTCACAGCCTGTCTCTGGAGCGGGCGGGGGTGAGCAAGCAGCGACACAGGGACACCGCCTGGCACCGGAGGTTGTGTGGCAGGCAAGGGGGGTGGTGCTCGGTGCCTCAGCCGCAGCAGCGGGGCGCGGGCCGAGCCGCTGTGGTGATGGCGGGGCGAAGGAGGGGCCCCCAGGCGCGC